CGCCCCCCCCCAGCGGCCTCATAGAGATTTTAAACAGCATTGGGGAGATAATTGCCCCCTGTGGACCCCCGCAATTGAGACTCCAGGGGGCCGAGACGCTCTCCCCAAGCTGAAATCTCTGGGGACGGTCCCCCAAGAAGGAACGGAGCCAGGCAAGTGCCAAGCCACCAGATCATTGGAACTGCGATATCTTCATTGGAGCTCTTCCAAAAATACTTTTCATAGAGGGCCACGCTGGATATTTTCATCATACACACCCCACCTGCATACACACACCCACACACCTGCCCACCTGTATGGATGCCCGTCCACCCGCATGCACATCCCCCTGCATGTGTGCACGTATGGGCTGAAGGAAATGGACTGGATAAAATGGCAAGGCAGGCCAGATGTTTGGAGACCCCAGGTCTAGGGAGTTGGTGCCCATGAAGTGGATTGTTTCGGTACTGTATTTCATTACAGTGGTGCCCCGCATAACGAGCGATTCGTTTAACGACGAATCCACATAGCGATGTGTTTTTTGCGATTGCAAAAGCGATCGCATTGCGATGTTTCTAATGGTAAAACATCGCTTTGCGATGATCGGTAAGCATTTTGCTTACCGATTTTCCCATAGCGATGTTTTTTTAACAGCTGATCTGCGGTTCCAAAATGGCCACCGGGCAAAGAAAATGGCCATCCACTGTGTTTTCGCGCCCTTTCTTCGCTTACCGGGCAGCAAAAATGGCAGCCGCATGGAGGCTTTCTGCATAACTGTGAGTTTTTTGCCCATAGGAATGCATTAAACGTGTTTTAATGCGTTCCTATGGGCTTTTTTGCCCCTCATAGTGACCAATCCACATAGCGACGATTTTTTCAGAACGGATTATCGTTGCTATGCGGGGCACCACTGTATTTGCTAGCAACTAGAGTTTACTCAATTCCATAATCAGGTGTGAAACCAGACCAAAATAGATTTGGTCATCTAGCAGCCTCTCAAACTGAGAGGCTACCATATGCTCCAGCTCCTTGTCCAAAAATCAAACATTGGAGACTGGCTGATAGTTTTCCAATATAGTGGGGTTCAGAGAGGGTTCCCCCCTTCTATCCTTTAGGCAGGATTGAATTAACCCTTGATCCAGAGAGGCAATCACCACTCCTCTTAGCTATTCAGCCAATCTTCCCTTGACTGCTTTAAGAGACAATAAGAGTAAGGGTCCAACACACATATGGTGGCTCTCAACTCTGCAAGGATCTCGTCCACATTCTCAGGCTGTACAAATTAGAATAAATCCTTTAACACAGGGCAAGCAGGCCCCAAAGTTACATTTATAGGATCTATATTGACTACAGTATCTAAATCAGAATGGATGAAAGCAATCTTGTTTGCAAAGTATTGTCCTAATTCTTCACAGCAGGCTGTATAGTAATCTGTGTTCTCTTTACGTGGGCCAACACATAGTAGTAGCTTGACCTTGAAACAGTGCTGATGGACAAGTCTTCGCAGATGAATGGTAGCAGAGAAAAAGGATTCCTTTGCTGCCAGCACCAATACAGATTAGGCCCTCTGGTGGGCTCTAGCCTGTGTTCAGTTGGATTTACTCTGAGTTTTTTGCCATTGTTACTCTGAGTCCCACTGACTTTATCATTACTAGCTCCCTAGTAAACCAAGCTTGGTTGTCCACTTGGCTTGGTTATCCCTCAGCAGAAGCTGCCGCTGTCACCAGTGAGAAGTCATTTTCTCTCTCTCATAAGATGAGTATATTATTGAGTTTCATTCACTACTACCTATGGTCTTCAAATCTATTTTTGTATTGGGATAACAAACCTGTATTCTTTTGGCAAAGGATGCTGTACAGCAGGTATATCTTTGTTACAGAAGACTTTTTTTCCTCCTAGTAGTTCCTGATACCCAAGAGATGGGATGGCCTGTGACTTACGCTAGATCTTGGGGAGAGGTGCGATCAAGTCCAAGAAGTTTTGGATCATTGTTTTAACACTGACCTTTCTCCATAGAGACTGGCTCACCACTGTGGAATTGAAAGATGCATAGGTTCCTACTGTGATTGAGCCACAGTACTGCCAGTTTTTGCATTTGGCCATCAGGAATCATCTACTTCAATGCAAGGTTCTTCCCTTCAGTGTTGCCACATACTCTGGAGCTTTAATCATAGGTCTGGCAGTGGTAGTATTTTTTCTATACCATGGGCATAACAGTCTTCCCTTACATTGATGGTTGACTACTAGTGACTCTGCCTCACAGACATCTTCAGGCAGATCTTAACTATACACTTTCATTACTGATGGACTTGGGTTTTGTTTTTTTAAAACCAAGAAAAGTCTCAACTCAGTAGGAGCCCAACATGGTTCTTATCAGTGTTCCCTCTAAGCTGCATGGGCACGCAGGGCTGTATCAGGCATGCACAGCCAAGCAAGTGTTAACACCCATTTCCTTCTGGTTGCGGCCAAACCCCACGTGCAAGGGGCAGAGCTCCCATGCAGCACTCCGGAAAATTAGAAGGAACCTTGGAGATACCCAGTTTAGTGAGGGGATGATAGATTCTTTTTATACTTCATCTTTTCTCCCAAGGGATCAGGCAAAAACTCTGGCATATTTGGTACACAAAACTTACAATTCAATGTCAGGTTTTATGGCTGTAGCAATGGCACTTGTACCTGGCTATCTCTGTGTGTACAAATTGTAATGTGGTTTCTGGGAATAACTGGATATCTATTTCTTTATCTTGAAACAGACATGTCTCTTGATGAGACAGCAACATGAAGCAGCAGCTTTAAACGCTGTTCAGAGACTGGAATGGCAGCTTAAACTACAAGAACTTGACCCTGCAACTTATAAATCTATCAGCATTTATGAAATTCAGGAATTCTATGTTCCTCTTGTGGATGTTAATGATGACTTTGAATTGACACCTATATGACAGCTAGTGTCTCTTTACTGACTGTTGCAGCTTAAAGTTGTGGGAGAGGAGCATAATTGTTTAAAATATAGCACTAATACAGAACACTGCCTTTCTCAATGTACCATAGATTCCTTCAAAAATGCTTTGCAAAATCTCATTCAATATTGTAAATGTGCATACCATTTATTACTAAATGGTATTTATTTTAGATTCCATATCTGAAATGCATCTTCCCAATGGATCTATTTAAGTACAACAATCTTTCATTAAAGATTTAACAGCGCTGGCAGCTGTTATAAGAAATCCACTGAGAAGTGCTTGCTATTTAAAGTTCACGTTAATGATTTTTATTATTAAACTTAAACTCCTGCAAAACAACAAACCTGTGGAAGAAATTATATGCTTGTGGGAATGTGGGGAGTGAGAGTCTTTTCATCTTATATAATTATAGGTTAATTGTACAGTTTTCTTTTTTGAAAAGATGTAATATTGTTTTCATTTTTTAAAATAACTTATTTTATACATATTGTGCACATGTAAATATTACTGTATTTAATGTTCAACTCTGTATAAAAATAGATATTTTAATTGTAAAACTGTTTTGTCTTATGTTTTATTGGACCAAAGTTGTTGTTTCTTATGTGTAGCGTATAGTCAGTTTCCTTTTCTAAGGCATGTGTTTGGTTTAGCTGCTTGTTCATCACCATAACTGTTGAGATTTGACACTGAGCAGTATTGCATGCTAGCTCAGTTCAAGTTTTTCCTTAGTGTGTGGTACCTAAATGATTACATGTGTGGTGCCAATCCACCAAGCACTGCTTCTGTATAGCAACCATTCATTCAGAGGAGTTTGCATGAGTGCCCTTTCCAGTGTAGTTTGCAGCAGTGCTTAATGGATTACACCTTGGCTTCCCAGAGCCATTTGTCTGTTGACCTGCTGCTGTAATACCATGCCTATGACTTACTATGCTAGAGTATTTTGTTTAAAATCTTAAGGATTATAAACTTGCTCTTTCATTGTGGTCTCAAAACAAGCCTTTCAGTGTTTTCTCTCTTCCAAATGCCTCTCAGTGAATAATTCTTAAATTGTACATTGTCTATTTTAATATTTCTCAATTGAAATATGTAAATAGCTGTAAATACAATGTTTAATAAATTCTATTGGTCATGCTAAAAGCTGGTTGGTTGGATCCTTGTGACAGTGACATTTTAATTCTTTGAAGTTTTATACAGTTTGACAAAATAAATATTTGAAAGTTCCATGATAACATTGTATTTGTATATTCTGACCAGTCTTCCTGCAGTTTTTCAGCAAATGATTATGTTGTGTTATTTCTGTATTAGCAAATTGACTAACACTATGATATGGATATACAGTGGGGCCTCGACTTACTAACGTCCCTACTTACGAAATTTTGACTTACAAAAAGCACCGGCCGCAAAATTTTGCTTCGACTTGTGGCCGGAGCTTCGACCTACGAAAAAAAGGTAGGGGGAAAGGGTGGAAAATTCAAACCATTGGTGGCGAAGAGGCTGCTTCTTCGCCCCAATGGTTAGGAAAAGGGAGGCTCAGCCTCCCCGGCTTCCCAGCCACTGTGACCGCCGCTGCCAGAGGCCTGTGTTTTTAAGCGGGGGGAAAACCAGAACCCCACCAACTCTGGAAAGGCCAGGAGGAAATCTGCAAGATGCTGCCACTTTTTAGCACCCCTAAAAGGCGCCCCTTTCACTGGCTGGGCGCCCTTGCCCTCTGGGCCCCCCACTCACCTTCCTTCCAAGTCAAAGCAGGAGCCGCCGAGAGCGAGGCAGAGCGTGCTGGGCACGGGAGCACGACAGAGCAAGCAAGCAAGCACGGAGGGAGGGAAAAGTTGCCCAGCCAGCCGATTTCCTGCTGGGCCACCTTCCCTGGGATTTCTTTGCAGACTCCAGTTGTGTGCTATTTAATGTTGACCGAGCTGGTGGGCGAATGCGCATCTGTTGCACCCTTAAAGGGGACAGACAGATCAGCGTTCCCGGTGAAATCTTTGCAGATTGGGGTGGTGACTGTGCGGGGATTGCTGGCGCTTTTTATTCCCTTTCCGCAGAAGAAAGGGAGGGGAGCTTTCTGGGGATGTTTGAGTGCCGCTGCCAAGGAGGTTTCTTGCTCACCCAGCAGCTGCCCGACACTTCAGGCTGCCCTTCGGCTCAAGAGCGCACTCCGGACTTGGAAAGCGGGAGGAAGGGGCAAGCGATCCAGGTGCTCCGGCCATTTGTAGTACTGGCCATGCGTCCTCGAGATGTCTGAGCGAAGTTCAAAGGGGGGGTATGGGAGAGTGCGGGGCTTCAGCGCGAGGAGCTGAAGAAGACTTGGCAGAAAGCCCAGGAGTTCGCCGTGGTGAGTCGCAACAAGTTCAGCATGGCTCTGAGAGACAAGACGGTGAGCAAAGAAGACAAGGCAGAGTTTGAGAGGCTCTGGGTGATTTCCTCCTCCTGCCTGGAGATCTTGGAGTTCGACATGAAGCCTCTGGCAGTGGCGATCGCAGCGGGGGAAAGCCGGGGAGGCCCCCAGCAGCAGTGGTTGTAGGAGCGGGGAAGCCCGAACGGGCTTCGGAGGCTTCGGACAGGTAAGGTACTCCTTTTTCCTTTTTAAAAAGTTGTTCTGGGTGGGTTTTGGAGGGTAGGTTTGGGCTGGGGGGGTATGTTTCTGAGTTTTGTTTTTTGGTGATTTTTTTTTTGCAGTCCCAGAGTGGAACTGGCTCCAATGTTTATTTTTGGATTTTTTTTCCAAAGCAGTGTTGCCTGCACAACACTGCTTTGGAAAGTTCCAGAATCTCAAAAACAAAAGTGCCTCAGCATATACAGTGGTGCCTCGCTTAACGACGATAATCCGTTCCAGGAAAATCGCCGTTAAGCAAAAACATCGTAAAGCAAAATAAAAAATCCCATTGAAACGCATTAAAACCCGTTCAATGCGTTCCAGTGGGATAAAAACTCACTCTCCAGTGAAGATCCACCATATGGCAGCCATTTTTGCTGCCTGTATAGCAAGGAATCCGTCCCTAAACACAGCGGGGAGCTATTTTAATTACCCGGTGGCCATTCTGAAACCGCTGATCAGCTGTTCTAAAAACATCGTTTTGCGAAGAATCGGTTCCAGAAGCAGGGAACTGATCTTCGCAAAGTGAAATTCCCCCATTTAGATCATCGTTTCGCGATTGCAATTGTGATCGCAAAAAGATCGTCGTAAAGCGGATCCGTTGTAATGCGGGGCAATCGTAAAGCGAGGAACCACTGTACCATGCAAACGCGGCCCTGCTTTCCTCAGTTCTTTTTTGTTCGTCACTGCAACAGCACTTCTCTTACCTTCTTACTGATAAATCTTTTTTCCTTCCCTCTTTACCTAAAAAGAGAGAGACTTAGTTTAGAGAGGGTTTACTATGTACTGCCCGCATAGCTCTGCTGTGCTTCTTTCTTAATGATTTATGGCCTCTGCCTTAATGAAAATGTCTACCACATGGGGCAATTTAATTCCCCAGTCCAACAGACATGATACCTACTTATTGTTCCTAGGAGATGCCCATTTGGTTCAATCTTGAAAAATTTGTAGGCGTTTTATTGCCCTTACACTTACAAATTGTCAGGCTTGGCTTTGATACTTCCTTTGGGAACAATCCTTCCCAGGATACTTTTGACCACCCAGATGGATCAAACAGCTCCTTCAGGGACACCCCTGGATGTAGAGTCCATCACTTCTTCAAAACAGCCATAAAATTGACAAAGAAATCAGAGCATGGCATCCATAAACATACAGCAGCCCCCGATATCGACGGGGCGAAGAAGAACAAGTGGCAGTCTTTACACTCCATCGTGGTCACAGCAGTTTTGGATCTGCAGTTATTGGTCCAACAATCTATCTCTGCTCCCGTTACTGATGCCCAGTATACGGTGTTGGTCTCAGAGGGTGAATGCTTGAGCCCCTCCATGCAGAGTGTTGCTGTCTCACTGAGAGCACCATCTCCTTGGAGTCCACTCAAAGAGCAATCTTTGCTTCCATTGTCCAAGGATGAACGACAGTCTTTAACTGTCTCCACAACTAGGAGTAGGAAGTCCAGTTAGCTGTACAAAGCTAAACCTCCTGATTGAAGGAAACTTGTTTACAGAGGCAAGGTACAGGCAATTTTGTTCTCTCTTCATCTTACTTCCTTGTATAAGACGCCCCTCAATTTTGTAGTCTAATGTTTTTAGGAAAAAGTAGCGCACAAAAAATACGGTAGATCTCCACACTGCTACACTGCTCTCTGCTTTCCACGAGACCAGTGTCACCACCGGGGATTCCCCCCCCCCCAGCTTCTGCCAAGGCCATAGCTCTCCATCCCTCCTCATCTGAGATCTTGCTACCTCCTCCTTATCTGGACCTCCTACTTAACCACCAGGCCTGCATCAGCTTTCAGCAACTCCTTCTGTTCCTAGAGGAAAAATACAACCAAATGACAACTCTGCCAATTCCAATGGGCAGGAGGGGAAAGACTCTGTCCTTATCCCAGGATCCTCAACCAGTTCCAATGTCCAGGATGCCAGCCCTCTCTGCCCCTCAGAAGCTCTCTCTTATAATGACCTAATAAAGAAAATGGCAAATCATTGCAGCACACAGTCTTTAAATCAGTACAGTGGTGCCTCACTTAACAAGCGCACCGTATAACGATGAATTTGCATAGCGATCCCTTTTTTGGGATCGCTAATGTGAAGGCATCCCAACCGCCGCAATGGGCAAAACTCGCATTGCGACGATCGTTAAGCGTTTCGCTTACCGATCTTCGCATTGTGACCCCCACGGATCAGCTGTTCGGCGTTTTCAAAATGGCCGCCAGACACCCAAAATGGCCGCGCGCAGCATTTTCGCGCCCTGCCCTCGCTTACCGAGGGCGCGAAAATGGCTGCGGATGGGGAAAACTTCGCTTAACGGTCAGTACAGAAATCATTCGAACGCATTAAACTAAGTTTAATGCTTTCCAATGGCATTTCCCATCCCGTTTAGCGATGTTTTCTTATAGCACCACTGTAACTCCATCTAAGGATGCAGTCTTCAGCTGCATCCACAAAAAGCCAAACATCCCTATCAAGATGGCAATGCTTGACACTTTAACAGACCTCATCAGCCAGTCCTGGCAGAAACCTTCAATTCCATCAACATCTTGTAGAATTTAAAGTTTCTATAGAGTCCAACAGGACAATGATAAGTTTCTCTTTAAACATCCAATACCGAACTCTGTAATCCTCCAAACTGCCCAAGTGAGATCCAAGGGTTCTGTTTGTGAAACACCAAATAATAAAGAAAGTTGTAAACTAGATTTGCTTGCAAAATATATTCTTCAGCAGCACTCAACATGCACATAGCTAAATTATCAAGCCATGATGGGTGCTTACCATCAGTTCATCTGGGGAAAATGTCAAAACATTATCTCCGTCCTACCAACAGACTCTGGCCATGTCATTTCAACAGGAGGCCTACGCTCTGGCTGGCAACAAATCCACTCTGTGTGGCAGACTCTGCAACTAAGAGCATGGCAGCGAGCATCACTCTATGCAGATACATCTGGCTTTGCTCTGCAGGCCT